GGAGCCATAGTTGCGGTTGCTTGAGCAGTTTGGGTAACTGCTTCCATAGGACGTGGCCGTCCGATTTCGTGCAACGATCAGTGGTGCCGCAAGGGCAAAACAACAGATTGGTACTTGCGCTGCTGGGTGGGAATATTTCACAGAAAAACAGGGTTTCTCAGAGATCACCATTCAAAGCTTTGCAGATCCAACTGAAATTCCAGACAGGGGTTCCCTACCATTTAAAATTGGTAGCGGAGCTCCGGCTCCAGCTACAGAAGCCGAAGAAGGATCCAGGGGGAAATCATTATGTCATCAACAAATGACGGGGATGGCGGACGGATCGACACCGGAGTTGGTACGACACTTACCACACTGGTCCCGACATTTGATCCATCAAAGGACAACCTTCAGATCTACCCTCAGAAAGTAGAACTCATGTTGGCAGCATGGCCGAAATCGAAGATCACGGAGTTGGTCATGAGACTTATCCTCAATTGCCAAGGGTCAGTTTTTGCAAAGCTCCAGTTGCACCAGACGGAGCTCATGGCAAATAAAGAGGTCGAGTGATTGAACTACTGGGGGGTCATTGGGGTCGAATAGGCCTTAAAAATAATATGAAGAAACAAAACAAGCTCTTTACAATACAATTTAAATGAAAGATAAATCGAACGATTCATTCCTGGCCAGATCTGACATTATATGGAGTAAATTTCTATCGCAAAAATTATCCATGGAGGACCTCCAAGCCTTTGTGCTCCTAAGGGGATCGACATTAACACCTGAGGAAAAGAAGAAGGTGATCCTGGAGTCCGACAACAATCTGGAGGGAAAATTCATTGTGACCAAAGTATCAGAAATAATTCGCATCTTAGGTACCACTTTTTTCCAAGAGATAATTGGACAAAGAAAAAGTGTATAATTCATCGACACTGGTAATAAAAGATGAGGAAGATGAGGAGCCAGCTTTTCTGGCACATGAAGAACATGGAGAAGATAAATTCATAGAGGCCCTTTTAATGGAGGGGGATACAGACGCCGCCCTGGTGGCTGACTTTGAGTCAGCGGCCACAAAATTCTTGCAGGAGGATAATGATCTAGCATCAGCCTACAGCGCCTACACTAAGGCGAGGCGGCGGTTGACAGAGAAATTCAAGATTCGTGGATTCTGGAGCACCAGTAAGTCTAGCTTCACTGCCTTAAAGGGGAAGGGATCTTATGCAAAGGGGTCTCAAAAGGGGAAATCAAACTGGAACCAGAATTTACGTCGAAATTTCCAAGACCGAATTCTCAACTCATATTGCCGTAACTACAACAAGAAAGACCACTGGAAGGCAGGGGTGCCCCTACAAGGTGTCAGGAGCCTCCACAACAAATTCGATATCGATTCCATCAACAGCCTCCGGAAGTTTACCAACGACGACAATCCCTTGGTTTCCGCCTTTCTGTGGCATTACCAAGTACATATCTTAATTTCCGCTATATTTACAAGGTAGGGGTAAGATACTGTGCACCGCCAAGGGATCAGATGTAAGGTCTGGCGTCCCTCCGGCGTCCCTCCGGTATTCCTTGGTTCCTTCGACATCCCTCCAATATCCCTTAATTTCCGCCGATTGTACATTACCAGGAGTCGGATACACGATCTAAGATTGGTTTTTGTCGCTTTTGTGAGGCAGTGAGTGAGTGTAAGTGAGTGTGAGAGTATGAGTGAGTGCGAGTGAGTGTAAGTGAGTGTGAGTGAGTAGGTGTCAGTGAGTGTGGGTAAGTAAAGAAGTGTAAGTGAGTAAGTAAGTAAGTGAGTGTAAGTAAATAAATCTACGTGAGTGAGTAAGTATAAGTTCATGTAAGTAAGTAAGTGTAAGTGAGTAAAGGAGTATAAGTGAGTAAGGGAGTGTGAGTGAGTAAGTAAGAAAAAATAAGTAAGTGAGTAAAAGTAAATAAGTAAGTAGGAGTATGAGTAAGTAAGCGAGTGAGTAAGTAAGTAAGTAAGGGAGTATAAGAGAGTAAATAAGTATAAATAAGTAAATTTAAGTAAATAAGTAAGTAAGTGTAAATAAGTCTAAATAAGTGAGTAAATATAAATAAATAAGTATAATTTAGTGAGTAAATAAAAGCAAATAAATTATTTTATTTCGAGTAATCCCCACCATAACATTTCAAAATAGCTATAATAACTTGCTCCACCCCAGACCCCATAAGATCACTTCAAGTAATTTGTAGTAACTTGCTGTAAGATGTTGCCTGTTTCAAGCGTCTTTGCAAACAGCTCCAAAGGTACAGAAATGAAAATGCCTCTGTCCACCCCACTGACTTTGTTATTTGTTCAAACTAATTATTTCAAACTTTACCACCTGCAAAATAAAAAATAGCATTGCCCCGATCACTCTACCACACACGCGCGAATTTACAAGTAATATATAACATACTTGTCTTGTATTCTTTCTAATTTTCTTCCGCACATTCTTTGTCCCATATCTTCCTACATGAGGTCCGGCAGGGAACACTTAGCGTGGATACTCGCGGTTGAGGTCCGGCAGGGAACACTGGGCGAGGATGGTCATACTTGAGGTCCGGCAAGGAACACTGGGCGGGGATACTCGCGGTTGAGGTCCGGCAAGGAACATTGGGTGGGGATGGTCGTGGTTGAGGTCCGGCAGGGCA